CCGTGTAAGTCGTGTGAAATGGCTGGGCGGCTTAAGCGAGACGTGTGGTGTTCTCGTCTCTGGATACATCTAACTCAGGCTGTCTCGCTGTCCCCTATATATATGGTGGCGGCGTCCTTTGAAAGTGAGCGGCGCGTGTACAGTCGTCCTTGATATGGACCTCACGATTATGAAAGTGGTATTCGTAGTCGAAAACACTTTTGGGTGTGGTCGCATTCCTGGTTGTTATTATGAGCAAAATATATGGTATTGCGTAATCCCATTACAATATTACTAGTTATAAAGAATGTGACCGTTCATTGGCTCATTATGGAATAACTAAAAAGCCGTTTCCACATTTCAACAATCATAATATAGTTAGCCTTTGCCAAACAATACGCGTTATATTATTACATTATCCATATATTGGTAGGTACCTAAAATACTATCGTACGCCGAGAAATCCAAATAAGAGCCAATCGGTACGCTCGTAACAATATAAGGAAAGGAAAATAAGTTGAACATTTTCCTTTATCATTATTTACCGATATGCTTTGACGCAATAATAATAAAAGTATTCAACGTAATGACTGTACGGTAAACAATATGTCAATATAATAACACATAATGTGTGCCTACGTTTGCTCGTACGCCTGTTAATAATTATGCTATCTCGTCACGCCGCCCGCCCGTCGAACTTAATAGCCTATATAGGTATATTGTATATACGTAATAACGTCGATATTCACTTATATTATTGTAAATTTGCAACACAATAATGTACGCGTTTGACATTATTGTATTTCATGCTAAGTAGGTAGGTACACATAACTTCGTGAGACATAATTTGTGTGTGCGACAAACCGCTCCGGAATGACCGAAAGACACGTTAAGAAATGCACATGGCTCCAGTAAAATCCCAAATTGGAATGTTTCAAGCCCTCTCACCCCCCCCCCCCCCCACACACACACACGCACTTCCTGTACCCACGATTTTATCACAGATTTGAATATTATGATCACAAATACATAATGAGATAATCAATAATAGTTAGGTTCAACCGAGTCGAAAGTCAAAATTGAATAAATATCGTAAGAATGTGTGGGAAAATAACTTTTGAGTCCTAGCCATGTTTTATGGGGGGACGTTTACGCCAGACCTCGCGCCCACTGAATTCGCCGACAAAGTACGTGCTGTAAAAAAATTGCAAAAAATGTAAAAAAGGTCAGTCGATTCGCTACTGATCGCTTTGATGTCACGAAAAACAAAAATCGCGTACAGCGTACCTAAATCATTATTTTCGACCGGCAAATGAGTCACAGTCATCGGAACGGCGCGGGCGCACCCACCGACCCAACCACAGGCAAGCCGTTTGAACACCACCAGGCACCAAGCACCGGGTGGCGCAAATAATTCGTTCGGCCGCTACCGGCGGCAGCACAAGCGGCGAAAACTGTCGGTTCTCCCGGCCGAATGATGATTAAATCCGTATAGCACGGAGGGATCCGACGCCGCCGCCGCGACTCGGGACCGCCTCGGTACGATATCGCTGTATCAGCAGTACGAGTACGGCTTTTCTCGCGTCTTCCGCCGGCAGCGCCCCCATTTGTGCTCGTGACGCCGAATCGTATTCGTGTAATCGTGTTCTGTCATCGTACTCATAGATTAAAGAATAGTACTGTCGCGAGTGTAACGTAAAACGTTGTTATTTAATTTTGTCAACGTGAGTCGAGACCGTTATCGTTCCATCCGTGAAATACTTATACCCGCCAACCGCGTTACTACGTTAGTCGCACGTCATCCGTAAATACTAAATAGGTGTGAACGTTTTATTCGTCGTTCTCGCGCCGTCGTCCGGCCCGGAAGATTTCAGGACGACCGGCCCCCGGTGGTGCCCAGTCGTACACATCCCTTCGCCAACGGAAAGTCCGTCATCGTGTGATGAACTTGGTCGTCCAGAAGTAGGGTAGTACATCGTTCCAGGTACGTACGGGTGCGATTACTTATCTCTAGGAAGCTTCTCCTCCGCCGGCCGGTGAGCGAGCAGCGAGCGCGTGCGCGCGCCCGGTCGACCGACCGTACACGTGCCACGGGGAACTGTTGTAGCCGCCCGGCGCCCGCCGCTGTTGGGCCTACAACAAGTGTTCTGCCGCAGCTTGTACGGCTCTGGTGCTGCGACCTTGGGCACGTGTTGTTTGCTAAAACGGCATGCGTGTCGAATGTGTTGCGGCGGCGGTCGTCACTCGTCGTAGCCCGTAGGTGACTACTGCCTACTAGTTAGTCGTTAGTCATTCCGTAATTTTTATTTTTATTTTTTGATGGTTATCTGTTTATCTTTCGCATTTGCCTCACTCTCCTCCCTTATCATCCCTTTGCGATCCCAATGCAAAATGTTTTTTTGTTCACACCACCCCCTCCCATTGGTCATCATTGGTCCGCCATAATTGAAATTACCCCGCCATCTGACGATCTGGCCCAGATCGTCTGGGTCGTTCTTGCACGCCGCGCACTATTCGAGAGTAAAACCCGTCATTTGAATTCACACCGATATATTTAGATTTCGAGGCGAGCGCTGTAATCACTGAGCAGTTCGTAGTTCGTACGCCGATAACCACAAATCCACAACAGGCCCCGACAGTGGCATATTTACGATTAGGAAATGGGGGGTGATAACACGAAAAAATCGGAGCATACAGGGTGTCCCGTGAGGATTTACTCATTGCGATATCTCCTGAAATAATGGAGATATCGTAATTATGTTTTTTTATTAAGACTCGCAGAGGTAAGCACTACAAATATTTTATTTTTTAATTAAATTACATTTTTTAGTAAAAAAGTTAAAAAAATTATTTTTTAATTTTTTAATTTTTGAAAAAATTGAAGATAGCCATTCTATAGAGTATATTTTTGTGAACATTTTGAGCTTTTAACATTTTATTTTCATTAATCTCATGATTTTTAATAATTTTTTTAGTTTATTAGTAAAACGTCAATAAACTGGTTTTTGTCCGGGCGGCGAGTCCCCCTCTACGGCTAATGAGTAAATCCTCACGGGACACCCTGTATATCAGATCAGCAGTCAGCAGTCTCCCCGGGATCCTTTAAATGTTATATTATAATTTATAATGTTACATTCGTGTGAGATGCTCTAATGAACTTATTATTATAATGACACTGAAATTAAATAAAATAAAATAAAAAAAGCAGCTCTGGGTGGGGGTCATCTAGATTGCCACCGAGTCACCAGTACTGTTCCTGTGCCAGTGGCACCCCATAACAATAATAATGTGTACTTTGGACTTATATGGGGAGGGGAGTTGGAGTCCTGACATTTTTTTTTAAGCAAAATAATGTATCAGGACAGAGCCACCCTTGTACAGTTATTACTCTATTGAATAGTATTACAATTGTATTAGCTTAATTAAACATAGTAGGCACCTAGGTATTTTTTGAATTGTACAACAAGAATACAGTTAACAATACTATCTACACACGTTTACCGAACTAAATCTGAGTGAGCTCCAAACAATTATGGGGAGCAGGGCTTCAGCCCACCCCTAAGCTACGTCTATGTACATACTCCTATGTACCAACAGAAATTATGTAACCAGCAACATTTATAGCCCACACATTGTTTGTCTAATCCTAGCTGTTCTTATTTTCTGTCTCTACTTAAAAACAAGTTGATTATTGTTATAGACAATAAGTACCTTTTATTACATATTTATCGTCATCACTCATATTTGTTGTGATTATTCATCTGGTTTTTTTTTTTTTTTAATTCATGAATTATAATTGAACATATTATTTATTGTGTAAAAGTTGCCAAGATAAATCATACATATTATGAAGAACCAGGTTTTAAATTTTTAATCATAAGGTTGTTCATCTTTTGTATTTTATATTAAAATCATGTTCATCAGTTAAAGAAGATATTTTTGTGGTTGTGAATTATGACAATATATAAATTAATATTTTTATTATGTAAAATATAATGTGTGATTTCTCTAATATATATACTCAGTATGACTGTATGAGTAATATATCAGCATGACACTTTGACAGTATAATATCACATTGTTGTAATATAAACATGTAATTACTAGGCGTCTAGGCAAAATTAGTTTTATCTAAAACCTATTAAAGTTATCAGAATATATTTTTAAACATGATGATATTTAAAACATTAAAATTACCAAGCACCAATTATGTTTTATTTAAAGCTAATATTTTGTAAAAATATAATTTTATTAGTTAAATTAAAAGTACATGCTTGTCTCCTAGGGCATTTTGTACAAATTTATTAACTAGTAATAACTGATAACTAATAACTTACATAACTAAATAAATACATATAAATCAAATATATAGATACATATTGTATGGTTCAGGAGTTCAGGATGTAGAACTACTGTTGGCTTGAAATCAAATATATTAAATAGGTATTGAAATTCTAATTGTCAATAACTGTTAAACTTTGTTCTTATATACTATCTAATATATAGTTTAATTATTCAGTATTCTAGACACTTGGTATTTGATTTAATTAACAAAAATATTTTATATGCTTATTAATAGACCTTTTAACCTTTGGCCAGTTTTTTTGTTTGTTGTACTTATCCAAAGATACCAGTTAAGGAATTGTTGATTTCTAATAGAAATAGAAAATTCCATAGGTGTGCAAATTGATTTAAAATTTGTAAATAAAATACTACTCTAGCCGTTTTCGAAAGAGAACAGCCGATTTACATCTAGCGACGCGCAACCCCCACAACTTCCCATTGTTAGCGTGATCACGTGGTTCTTGATGCACCAATCGAATCATTCGACATGCGCAAAAGCGGTATGTTGTCTTTTGAAAACGAGTATAAACCTAACTATTCAGTTTGATTTCCTTTTTTTTTTGTTTAAAATACAAATTATATATATTATATTATGATTATGTATGATATATCGCATATTATGTTTTATTTTATTTTTACTCAAATTTCATATTTTTTACAGTTAATTATATTAAGGTATGGAAGAATCCGAAGGAACTACCCACAATGGGACAACACATCTCACCCAACGAAAAAGGGAACAACCTCATCAAGCAATTGTATGGCGCAATGTCATGTTGTTTGGTTACCTTCATTTGGCTGCTGTTTATGGTGTATTATTAATGTTTACCTCCGCTAAAATTGCCACAACTATTTTTGGTATGTTCAACAACTTACATATTTAATATTTCTAACCTAATAGTTGAATATATTTATTATTATTTTCATTTAGCAATATTGATGTATCAAGTATCTTCAATTGGCATTACAGCTGGAGCTCATAGACTTTGGTCACATCGGGCGTATAAAGCCAAATGGCCATTGCGTGTGATATTAATTGTATTCAATACAATAGCCTTTCAGGTATTTTTTTTAATGTTATTTATTAACTATTAACTATTCTAAAAAGGTATTGAAGAAATTGAGTTTTGTCATTGATTAAATATACAATCGATATCAGTATATTTAATCAATGGTAAAACCTAACCTTGGAATTTGCTTTAAATCGTTTTCGTCATCACTCATCTGAAATCTGAGTTTATATATTTTGTTTTTATCCTGAGTAATAAGCCGGATATTTTAATAGGCAGAAGTAGGTAGGTACCTGTTAAAAATAAATAAAATTAAAATCTTATTTAATGCATTAGTTAAAAAATGCTGATGCAAGTATAATACCTAGACATGGTTATAATTTAGTAATACATTATGTATTTATGTTAAATATTAATAATTTTAATTTTGTTTGAAACCGTATAAAAATATATTTTATTTGGTTAATATTATACACTTAAGATCAGTGGCTGATCCAGAGGGAGAGCAAAGGGGGCATTTGCCCTCTCCAATCACCTTTGTTTTCCTTTGTTTTACACTGTGTTTGACCAATTTTGGAACTTTTTGTACTTTTGCCCCCCCCCCCCCCTATGCCCCTTCCAAAATTAAGCCCTGGATCCGCCACTGCTTAAGATCATTCCAAGTTTTAATGATTTGGATAATTTGAATAAAATATTAGTTTTTAACTTATATATAAAAAGTAGCATATAATTTTCTTGAGTTTAGTGACACAACTATCTTAAATATAAATATTAATACATTTTTTTTTTCCAATTCAAAACTGATTTAGTAGATTCTGATTGTGATATACAATGAGTATATTTTATGTTTTTAGTTCTGTTCATTAATTTAAACTAATTGATTTTACAAAAAAAAATTTAATTAGTTTTAAATTTGAATTAAATTAAATTCAAGATATCTGTTTCTTCTTCTTCAAAAAGGAGGCAGTGGCGCACACTGGAGGGTTCAAGGGTAGCAGTTGCTACCCCTGATTTTTTTGGTAGGTGGGTGGGTGGACCTCCTGGCTGAAAAATATTTACATCATAAAACTTCTACTACGTATAAAAATTTTGAAAATAAACTATTGAATAATTATAGGCTATAGCCATTAGTCTATTAGCCAATATAGAGGTAACCGATTCAATTTACTACCCCTATTTTTTTTTGAGTGTGCTCCACTGAAAGGAGGTACCATTATTTATCAATAAAATACCATTTTAGTCATAAATACAGGTTGCAAGTAAGCCAACTTTCCAAATTTAGTTAAGTTTTGGTATTTTTATTATTAAACATTAACTTGTATTATGTTCCAAATAATTTTTAAATTATCTATTAGTTATAACCTTGTGCCTTTTTATTTAAAATATCTAGTTATTTATTTGGAAATTAAATGAAATATAAAAAATCGATTCAATAACGGATATATTGTAATATGTTAAGCATTGAATCCATTATTTTGTTTAAAAAGTTCATCATTAAAGTATCTTATGTATAGAATATACTATAACTTTTAATTGTATGATACTAAATTGTTTGTCTTCATTGCATTAACTCTAAAATATAAATAAAACAATTCTTTTTCATCTTTTAATTCATTTATTCTAGACTGTATTTTATGTCGGTGAAAGTGCTCGTCTGATTAGGCACAGAATATGGAATATTTAAAAATAAGTATGTCCTCTTAAGCATTTTTAGTAATATATGAGTGAATTAGAGCCAATAGTTGAACTTCTAAATTACTCGCGTATAAAACGTGTATTATACTTATTGCATTTATCTTATTACCTTTAGTAATAGTATCTATATACAAATTAATATAATCATCAAAAATTAAGGTTACTACCATATGTACTACTTTAATAATACATCATGTATATAATATATTGCTTTTTAAAATATTAATATTTTAATTGGAAACTGATCGCTTCTATCATAGTTAAAGTATTTATGTAAATGTTATTTGTATGCTTACTTTAGTTGTTTGTTAACATCTTGGTCAAATAACCATCTTTGGCAGTAAATAACTAAAGATTCAATTTTAATAATTGTCAATGTTTAAATTGCAATTAAATATTATACATGCAATAAAAAATCCATACATACAACATACATTTAAAACCTAAAAATCAAAGAAATTAGTTAACATCTTTAAAAAAATACTTTAAAAAAAAAATTTAATTATATACATATAACTTACCTAATCATTATAATGAGATAAATATTTTTAATTTTGTAATTTTTTAATTTTAATACATTTTTTTAAATGTAGTTAGATTATTTAAATTATATTTGTACCATATAGTTTATCTCAATAGTAATATTTTGCTTTACGTCAGTTTTTCGTTTTAGAATGTTAAATTTTTGTTTTATATAATTATATTAAATTTTATCATTTATAAAACTATTTGTAGTTATTAGTCGTTCATAAATATTTTATTAAATTTCTCAAACTATGACAATGTTTTTATATGGAATTTTAACAATTTATTTATGTTTTAGAACCATGTGTATGAATGGGCTCGTGACCATAGACTACACCACAAGTACAGTGAAACAAATGCAGACCCACATAATGCAAACAGAGGATTTTTTTTTTCACATGTTGGTTGGTTGTTATGCCGAAAACATCCAGAAATTATAGAAAAAGGACGTGGTATTGATATGGCTGATTTACTAGCTGATCCGATTGTTTCCTTTCAAAAAAAGTAACTTTTTTATTAAAATGTCAATGCTCAAATGCTATACAATTATTATGAAGTATAATTGTGTAACAACTGCTTAGTTCTTAAATGTTGTTGCTTTTGTACTCATGTTTGAGCATTTGCCTCACAACTACACTCCAGTACTCCAGTCCCTTCGCTTGTACTCTTTGGCTGACAGAAGGGTTGAAGCTAATGCAAGATTTCTTTGTAAGCTATTAAAAGATAATATTGACCTCCTACACTGTCTCAACTTCAAAAAACCATCCTTTAACTCTTGTATTTACTCTCCTTTTCTTCTTCCTGTGTGCATTGCAAATATGTAACCGCTTGCCAAAATTTTGAATTAATATATTTATGTATAAAGTATACATATTATATATTATATATTTATGAGTTATACTTTTAAGTATTAATTTTATCTTGAAAACTTTAGGCAGGTGACTGTATTTTTGAAAATAAATTAATAATTATTAATTATAAATTACAGGTATTACAAGTTCCTGATGCCATTGTTGTGCTTCATATTACCTACAATACTACCGGTGTATTGTTGGGGCGAAAGCTGGGCAAATTCTTGGTTTGTGGCCACTATGTTTCGATACACTTTCTCACTTAATGTTACATGGTTAGTAAATAGTGCTGCACATATGTGGGGTGGAAGACCATATGACAGGTAATAATTAAAGTTATTATTATAGTTTAACAATTAATGACATACCATTTGATTTTTTTATAACTTTATATTTTATTATTTATTTTAGGTTTATAAATCCTTCTGAAAACATAACTGTAGCTTTATTAGCTTTGGGAGAGGGTTGGCACAACTACCACCATGTATTCCCGTGGGATTACAAGGCGGCAGAATTGGGTGATTATAAACTCAATATGACAACTGCATTCATTGATTTCTTTGCTAAAATTGGATGGGCATATGACCTGAAGACCGTGTCAGCCGATACTGTCCGTAAACGTGTGGAACGTACTGGCTTAAATGGCCGTGCAGATACTCGAGCTTCGTGGGGTTGGGATGACAAAGATTTGCCACAATCAGAACGCGAAGCAGCCACAATTATCAACAAGCAAGGATGAATAACTTAAGCCAAAGAATGTATTTTAAGTTTGTATTATGCTTCAGTTAATTGTATTCTGAGTTCTACCGTCTGTATTATGTTGTATATATTAATATTATCATTACTACAATTAAAGTTTATTTGTTTATATATAATCATTATGGTTTATATTTGATAAGGCCATAGGGCCGTATTGAAGGACAATGTTTGGGGGAGCAAACATAACTATGACGCTCCTAATTCAGTATACGCCATTTTTTACAAGTAAAAAACCAAAAAAAAAATGTCATCTAGTCTTGCTACACATATTGTTTTTTTACAATATACAGAAATAAATAAACCAGATACTATTTATACAAATTATTTAATTTTGAAAAAAAATATTATATTAAAGTATACCATGTTTACATATGAACTGTGAACAACAAGGCCAGATTAAGAACCTATTGGGCCCTGGGGCTGAAATTTCATATGGGCCCTTTTGACAAAACATGTTTTAAAAAACCGTTCGCTACGCTCGCAGGAACATACATTTTTCTAAGTATTTCACAAATTGACAATTGCATTATAAAATTAATAGGTAAATGTAATTTATGTCTATAAAACTACTAATTTTATTGTAGTATAAATAGTATAATAAAAGTTAATACTTCATATTTCATTAATTTAAATTCAAATTTTCATAATAACTTTTAAATTTACTAACAGTATTTATTAACAAAAATCATTTTATCAAATAAATTTTTTTATCTTGCTTTACATGAAGCCAACTCTCTTAGTACTTCATTTAAGTCTAATGATTTTAACAAATCATTCTCAGAATATAAAATCCTTTGTATGTCTTAAGTTTTCTTGGGTTTGACTTAGTTTTTACTCTAGTTAATACTTAATTGAGAAAAAGCTCTCTCTATACATAAATAACATTTTTAACTATTGATGATATTATTGATACCAATGAAAATATTAAATAACAGTAAAATGCGTCTTTTCTACCAGTGCTTTTGTAGGTACTATTTAGTTGTTCTTGTTGATATAATAAAATGGTTTTAAAAATATAGAAAAACTTTTCTTTAAAATCACTAAAAAATGTGTATCAGCTTAAAACGTATTGGGCCCCTTTCATTTTGGCACTTGAGAGGGCCACGAACTTCCGCCCCAGCTAGACCCCCCCCTTAATCTAGCCTTGGTGAACTACACGTCAAAACAAAACAGTTCTTAAATGTAACTGTATAAGTGTACAACACTACTCACTGGTTACTACACTGTCTACACCGTTTTATAACAATAAAATCTATAGTAAAAGTTTAAACAATATTGAATATAATCGAACAATAAACTACAGAGTCATAGTAGTAGGTACATAATAATAATTCATAATTGTATGCAGGCAGTGCGGCAGCTATAATATGTCAATATAATGATACTATTATAAAAAAAAAATTACTTTGGTATTACGGAAACAAAGTCCATCAGACCACAACACTACAACAGCGTTCTCTCCATGGACTTATAATGTTAATTTTAAAGTTATCTGTGGCATAATATGCACAACTTACGTCTTGCACTGCTCCTGTCATATAAAAAAAAAAACAAAACATAGAATTATTATTTATAGTACCTCTTATATTTAAGAGGTTTTAATAATTAATAATAACAAGTTTTTTTTTATGGGTTGGTGTTTCCCCTATCCTGAAATTCCTAAATACTCCACTGCACTGCTCATTTTATAGTGTGTCCCTGACAAAAACTTACTTTAGTTTAAAGTATTGGGTTAATTATTATTATTTATGTATTAACTATATGAATTACTCATATCACATTAAATATTACACCTTTCATATTATGAAAGTACTTCATATTTGGTAAAAATTATTATTCTTAACCTTAATAAGTAATCTATTTTATGTACCAAGAATTATAATTAAAATATATTTAAAGCAACATTTTTTTTTTTGATACTATCCAAAAGAAATTTTAAGCTAAGGGTATAAATAATCTTACAATGGAAAAAATAAAAAATTTTGAAAATCATAATATCAAGTCTTGAATTCTGTAAATGTAGCATTCAATATGAATATTTTTTGACTGGATTAATTTAAAAAACTAATTTGTAAATCTGTCGTATTCACTTCAAATTATTAATAATATTATAAATCTTGTTTACACCAAATCATGTATACAGGGTGTCCCGTGAGGATTTACTCATTATCCGTAGAGGGGGACTCGCCGCCCGGACAAAAACCAGTTTATTGACGTTTTACTAATAAACTAAAAAAATTATTAAAAATCATGAGATTAATGAAAATAAAATGTTAAAAGCTCAAAATGTTCACAAAAATATACTCTATAGAATGGCTATTTTCAATTTTTTCAAAAATAAAAAAATAATTTTTTTAACTTTTTTACTAAAAAATTTAATTTAATTAAAAAATAAAATATTTGTAGTGCTTACCTCTGCGAGTCTTAATAAAAAAACATAATTACGATATCTCCATTATTTCAGGAGATATCGCAATGAGTAAATCCTCACGGGACACCCTGTATAGTGTTTTTGGTGTACATAATATATTGGTAATTAATATTATATTTATGTCCAAACTTGTATTGAGTCTTGAAGAACAATTACCAATTTATTACTTTACTATAGAAACATTGTCCAGTCTTTGGTTGTAAATCAATCATTTCTGCAGGTTATGTATGGAGCACGGATTTATATGCATTAAAAACCAACCAAATAAGCTCTAAAAATCTTAAATATGCATAAATATTTGCACTAAAATGTTGAAATATGTACAAAATATAAAAATTATGCATACAAATATTAAAAAAAAAATGTATTTTTTGAACATTTAATTAAAACAATATTTTAAAATTATGGAATACTACTTTAATTACTTTTCTTAATTTTTTTGGCAATGGTTGTTGTAATCAATATTTTCTTATCTCAGTATACGTTTTGTATTTCACCGATTATTGGTCTAAGGTCATCTTTGGGAAAACCGATTATACCTACAAGAATTGAAGTATATTTATTAATTTATTTTGATATTAATCGAAACAATAAAAGTCTAATATTTTTTCCCTCTATTACAATAGTATATATTTCAAAAATGTCTAATAAAACATTGATATATGCACTCAAAGATGAAATATGCAATTAAATTAGAAAAAAAATGAGTAAACGTCAAAATATGCAAAAACATGCATTAAAAAATTTTCATTTTTTAAACCATGAAACAAATTTTGATCTTACTTAGCATATAAATCCGCACTGGTTATGTATAATAACTATTAGCTAACTTATAAATGTAATATACTAACACAATTAATTTGAAGATAATAATGACAATTTAAGTATAGTGTTGGTTATACCACTGATGTGTAGCGATGCCCAAATAATGTTGATGTTATCTCGATATTGATAGTTTGATATATTATCAGTCTTGTCAATATAATCGTCTCGATATATCATAAAGCCTGTTTTCCGTAAATAATTTTTCTTATTTTATTTTAATTATTACCATTTTATATAAAAACAGAATATAATATGAATGCTTATCTATAAATTGAATAAGGTATTTGTTTTATCAATATTAATATTTATCTTACAATGTATTTCAAATATCGATGTATTGATGTCAATATAAAAGAACAAAATTAAATTCAGTTTAGGCATCCCTACCGTTATGAGGAAGGAATAATTATATTGTGTTTACACTCATAGGCAATAGGCCTAATTGAAATTACTCCTAGTAATAAGAATTAATAAAATACAACTAAATTAATCGTACATAGTGTTTATTTTCAGTGTAAACCCAACTGTAATATTAACATGAGTAACATAATTTAAAAAAAATAAAATCATTTGAAGTATAAAAGGAGATTTTAAATACATGTATATAATAAAATCAAAAATTTCATTTTATAATAATAAAGGCTAGGCGCCAGAAGGTATAGATGAACATTATCAATATTTTTTTTTTTAATCATCTTTTTTATTGATGACAGTTGTTAATTTACGATCTTCAATTGAAATGTTAGAATCATCCCATCCCCAGATTCCATCACCATCAGGATGTGAACCATCAGGATGTGAACCATCTCCGGTCCTATTGGCTCGTTTTAAGACCATATCATTTGAGACCACTTTCATATCATAAGCCCAACCAATAAGTGAGAAAAAGTCTATGAATGCAGTTGTCAAGTTTGCTCTGTAATTTCCAAGTTCAGCCGCTTTGTAATCCCATGGGAACACATGATGGTAATTGTGCCATCCTTCGCCTAAAGCTCCAAGTGACACAGAGAGATTTTCAGATGGATTAATGGATCTAAAAATAATAGAATATTAACAAAAATAGATACCAATAGAATCAACTATTAAAGACTTACTCATCATATGGACGTTTACCCCAGATGTGAGCGGCACTGTTGACCAACCATGTCATATTCAAAGTGAAAATATAACGCAGCATTGTTGAAGTAAAAAATGCATTAACATATGTTTCATCCCAAAAATAAACAGGTACTATTGTGGGAATGATAAAGCAAAACAATAATAGTAATGGAATATAAAATCTGAAACACAAAGTTTTGAATTTTTGATTATCACAGATAACATATTAATTATTTAGTAAGAAATAAAGTTATTAAAAATTGGAGCTTACTTTTTTTGATACATAACTATGGGATCCTTTTTTAAATCAGACATATCAATTTTTAAGCATTTGTCGTAGTAATCTGGGTGTCTACGAACTACAAGCCACCCAATGTGTGAGAAAAAAAATCCTCTCTTAGCATTATGCGGATCTGAGTTTGTATCTGTATATTTGTGATGAATTCGGTGGTCCATGCACCACTCATAAATATGATTCTAAAAATTAAAAATAAATACATTATTATGATAGGCTATAATATATAGGTTTATTAAATTTATATTAACCTCAAATGCCATGGTACTCATCAACATTAAAATAAATCTTAAAGGCAATTTTGCTTTGTATGATTTATGTGACCACAAACGGTGAAGTCCAGCTGTTACACCTAAACCTGATAATATCCATGAACATATTCCTAAAAAAAAAAATAGTAAAAAAAAAAATTATAAGTATGATGCAAGCTCCTAGTTATTTATTAAAATCAATGAAAATCCCAAAACTATTTTATACAATTAATAATAACTACATATTATATTATACAGTAATACTCGTAATATGTTATATGATTAAGTATGTTAGGTAAGTTTAATGTGTCATGAGACAAAACAATTATGAAAAGCTAGAGTTCAACCCAATTATGCATTATGCTTCACTTATTTTAAATATCGAAAACATTTAATATAAAAGTTATTATTGTAATTTAGGAAACATTCAAACAAATCTCTTTAATTTTAATGAAATAATTTACTTCAAACTACATTATATATATTTTCGAGATTAAGCCAATAAGAAGGTTACTAATAATTATTGAACAGTTTAAAAATTAGTAGGTATTTAAATACCTATGTTTAAACATAATATAATATAAACGTACCATAAAATGTTGTGAGTAATTTAGTTGATGTAAACATCAAGTATAATCCATAAATAGCTGATAGATGACCAAAAACAAAGAATAATACAATGCTCCATATTATTTCAATCTTCACTGGTTCGACGGAATTCATGTTATTCACTCTGTCTTGTTTATTATTGTCCACTGCATTGAGATCGGTCTAAAATATAAAACGAGTGTAAAAAAATCTATTGAACACAATATAATATTGTCCCGTAAAATCCAAGACAGACAGACAGACAAACGACGATTAGACGTAAAAAAAATCAACCAAAATGCCATTTTCAAAAACGTAAGACAATTAATTTTCTTCACATAACAATTTACCTACCTCCATCATCGTGTTTGGCGCCGTATCCTCAGCTCCGGTGGCGTCCATGGCTCTGGAAGTGCTCATTCTTTCACTGGTTGCGGTAGATTCACGTAAACTAATGATTATCCAAGAACCGCGATTGATTTTATATACCTGTGGGGAAGTTCGAAAATTCAAATTGTTGAGATTAGAGCCGGGTCAAAGGTGGTCGACAATACACATCTTTGGAACGCGGACGAAAATAAAAACAAGATTAGACATTAATTAGACTCTATATTTGCAGGCTGCAGCTGTCACAGACCACAGTCCAAACACCACATCCACAACTTTGCTGGTCTCACATGCAACTCGCGGTGAGTCACTTACTCACGTAATCTGTATATAACAGACATCTATATTATATATTTATTATTATTTAAAATATATGAAGTATTTTCTTTATCGTTCCAGACGCCGGGTCATGCCACAAAATAGGTAAATCGGTACCACACTTATCTAATTAGACATTAGTCATCTACTGCTATTAATTAAAGTGTAATTTTCGTTCTTCCCGGGCTCCGTTGGCCGTTGGGAGTTTGGACCTCAAAATATTCGCGCAGGTTAATTAATAATATGATACGTCACGCGCTAATTATATCATATTATATTTTATAATTATTTTTTTATTACGTATGATCCTTAATAATTGTTCTAATATTATCGTCGGACTCACTTCTTCGAAACTAGTCGGCGCATCGTATTTTTTGTAGTTGTAGCACGCGTAGTATACGACACAAAAATATGATATTATGATGAAATGAAACGAAGACGACGGAATATAATTTTTTTATTAAACATGGTACATCAGTGATTGCCGATTGGTACGACAATGATAAACAATTTATACCGGCATGGCGGACCGACCTGTTGTTGTCGAATCCACGGACTCGTAACGTCACGACCACGGTTAAATATAATATAATAAATAATCCAAGTTCGAGCAGGGGAGTATTCGAATATGTTGGTATCAGTGCGGCGGCGATTCGGAAAATCCAGTTAATTTTTTTTTTAGTTCAGTACTTTTTGATTTTCTTAAACACCCCCGTCGGCCGTCGTCCACCTTTTTTTTTCATTTTATTTGTTTCTATATCTATTAAACCGGTCTCATGAAAAGCCCTAAATTCGTATATTGAACAGCTAAAGAAATACGGAATATCTACGATGAATATCGTCTTTGTATTATGATTTATGACACCGAGTACTAAGTAGGTAGGTATATCTAATAATGGTATATTGGGGTATGTATATTACAGCTTTTAGAATCATTTTGTGCTGAAACAGCCCAACATTTTGTGAAAAAATAAAACAATTTTATACTATTATTATTATTATTCTATGGTAGGTAATTTTGTTTATACTATGAACAATAATATTATAAGCTTATATCATAATAAATAGATAGGAACATCACTATCCATGTTCTCGTTGGTTTTCCTAGATTATATCGATTTTGTAGCTGGAGTAATGAGAATTTTTAGATTTTAATATTTTATACTCATGACTTGGATTAAAAATTAAAATATGGCGAAAAACTAACGAGAAAAATATACATATATTGTTCTTACCTTTAAGTTTGATAATAGGTTCATAAACTTTAATATTTAATCTAATAACACAAAACTGGAACTACCTACTGAAAGTACGTTTCGGTATGTTATGCGTTATTTCCATTCTTGATGTCCGTTTATGCTTATGTGTATACTTATTTCAATAATATGTATTCTAAAAAAGGTGGGTAAGTGGATGTCGCTTTGCTGTACAGTAGGTTACAAGTGGGTCACTGTAATGGATGGTGTTAAATTTGAATTCAATGATATAATATCATCGTATAAGAAAAACGATTCTGAGCGAAAACGGTCAGTCAGCCTATGATAGGTATTACTAAGTATATTTGATGATATTATTGTGGATAAAGTAATTTATATATAACCTGTTTACGTGGAATCTTGTTTTAAATTTTTAATCCTTAGCTCTAAAAGTTGAACATTTTATAAATTTTTAACTACAAAATTATTATTCAATTTTAAATGTAATAAATATTGTCAAAATATGAACTTTAAATTCCTTTAAAAAAAAATTGTGCCCATGTATTTTTAATATTTTTCAACTGACTGCTATTATAACAATATATTAGGAGTCTTGCATTCAATTTTCACGCTTTTTTACCCAAAAAATAACATTTTATTGATATTTTTGGAAAAAAAAAAATATAAATATTGAAAACTGACAATGTCAGTAAACAGCTCAAAAAGAGTCAAATTATTTTCAAAATTGTATGGTGTATAGAAAATGCTAATATAAACATTCAGTGAAATGTTCAAGTATCTACAGGCATTCGTTTTTTAATTACAATAAAATAAGAAAATCGTTACATGAGAAATCAAGTGAATATAAAATGTTGTAAAAATATGAATTTCAAACGCTCATAAAAATTTAATTTAAGTTTTTTGTAGACGTTTTTCTTTTTGGTAAATGTTGACAAACTTATGAGGAATCTTGTACTACATTTTCAAATCTTAGATTTAAAAAAAAAAACTTTTTATGAATTTCTAACTTTAAATAATTTGTAAATTTTCATCATTTTTACGTATTTTGTCAATATTTGAACTTTAAATTCTTATAACAAAAAACTGTGACTAAGGATTTTTAATTTTTTTCATCTGCCTTTGAAACAATATACTAGGAGCATTCTATTAAATTTTCAAGCTTTCGAAATCAACATATAAGATTTTATTGATATTAATAGAAAAAAAAAACTAAAAAAAATGGAAACTGAAAATGTCCGTAAACAGCTTAAAAAAAGTCAAAATATTTTGAAAATGTTGTGGTGTATAGAAAATGCTAATATAAACATTCAGTCAAAATTGTATGTACCTACGGTCATTTGTTTAAGAGTTGCACCAAAAACCAAAATCGATTTTTTCGAAAACAGATTTTGCGTTCAAATTCTGGTTTTTCCTTAATTTTTCTTTTGTTTTTCACGGCCCTTTTGAAAACTACTTTTGATCCCCCAAAGCACCAACTAGATTTACTTTCCCATCAGAAAAGATACTGTTGAAGAAAATCCAAGCACTTTTACTGTCCTAAAGGTGATGACAGACAAAAAAAAAAATTTTAAAAAAACACACATCATTGTAAAATCAATATATTATTCATCGTTCCACTCAGAATCTAAAATGTATGTGTAATTAGGTATATTTATTTTTTAGAAACCTGCATAATTTATTTTATTTAAACTTCCATTACACAATATTACATCACAATATCACATTCATGTTGGCATCAATTTTTTGGTGTCACTTATTTCATAACTATACTTTATATATACTGTATAAATTTGAATATATTTTAACTATTTAAGTATTAAACTTTTTACTCTTTAAACAGCAATTTAATTAGTTCATTATTGACAACCTTTTCAGTTTTAGATTCTGCAGAGCGCGGAGCGATGAATGTATTTATTTTACAATGATGTATGTTTTATTTATTTATTTATTTTAATTTTTTAATTATTTATAAATAGTAATATTGCGCAATCTTCACCCATAATTTGCTATAGTTTTTAGTAATATATTCATAATTTTTGAGCTGAAAGTTATTTACCTAATACGATTTGCAATTTAAATGTCTGTAAGGACCTGAACGTTAATTCAATGCTATTAACTTACTTTGCTTTATCGATGTCCTCCCCATTTTCAATTAAAATTAAATATCTATAATAAAGTTTCCTAAGGCCAGTGTCACTTTTGGGAATATTCCACAGCGGAATCCAGTTACCTTTTAGTCCAGGGTTGTTAAAATACAATGTTTTAAACAACTTATGACCTGATTTTGAGGGATAGTAGTAATGCACGGATTCTTAGAATTATGGGGTAGCACTTAGAAAGGAAGGGGTTGCTGACGATTGCTAAAATACTAGTTTGAGAATCAGAGACAATAAGGAAATGTTTTGTTTAAAACGAATAGAACATAATATGTTTAAAACAGTGTAAAATCCAAGCGAATATTGCATTTTTTTGGTTTATAATTAACCAGCTGATTTTGTGCACTTCGTTTGCCCGTTAAATGTACCAACTCTATATGACTCAAACTTTGTTCAATTTGTTATTTAATATTCGGTTTATGGTGTTAAAAATTTATCTTAACTTTTCTGTTGCCTGGAATAAAAATTCTGGTTCGCAGCAGTATATTATCATTTATCAGGTATAGGCACTCTACTTGCGGTAGATCGTGGACCCAGTGCTGTACTGCTGTTATTGTATGTAAGTGTATGATTTAACTTTAAAGTATCAAAGTTATACAAAGTTTATTTTGATATAATACGGTAGATTAATATAATCAATTAATACATAAACCTAACCTAAGCGTACTAAAATCCGATGAATAAAAAAAAACCAAATTTAACCTTTTTAAATTAGCCTATCTTCTTTCCAGAGATCTGCACACAAGCATTAATTTATATATAATAAATTCGATTTGATACAAGCTTGTATCTGCTCTGTCCTAATAATCAATGGCAACCGATAGTAAATAAACACTAATTTCTACTGTAGACTGTAACCAATGGCAACTATTAATAAATAAAAATAAAATTTCCAATGTGAACCTCAATGTCCCTGTTTGAGCATCCCTTTAAAATGCAAATTTCTGAAAATCCCTTCTTGTTGCACGGTGAAAGTATTAGAGGAACCTCTATTCCAAATTTCAAGTTCGTACGTTGAGTAGTTTTTGATTTACAGCGATCAGTGACTAAGTGGTATTTGGATTTTATATGTATAGATAATAAATAATAATAGATATACTTCAGAAAAAAAGTTAAAGTATTATAATTATATCTATTAATATCCTTCATTTAATTTTTATTTAAATTTAATTATTTTAAAATAAATTACTAAATTTAAAATTGTATTACTTAATAGTTAATATTATATACATAATAATATGACCACATAAAACAACCATTCAGAAAATATTTCAAATACATTTAAGATTTAAAATAAGTAATAAATAAACAGTGAAACATATGCCTATGCCTATAGTACACC